GAGGGAAGAGGCTGCCAGGGGGACAGCAGAGCATGCCAGGGCCAGGTCTCACCTTGATCCCCGAGAGCATGACAGTGACCAGGTAGTAGTCGGGCAGCAGAAGGGCCCTCACCACACTGCCATCCCTCACGTGCTCTATGATGGCTGTGGAGCAAAAGCAGAGGGGTTGGTCCTGCTGCAGGGGGGCCTGGTGGGAGCCACAGGGCAGAGCCAGCTCCCCACGCTGGGAGGGTGCCAGGAGAAGCACCCCAGGAGCAGGGAGCAGGCAGGCAGCCCCAAGGGCCAGCAGAGGGTGGGCAGGGTGACCCCAGCACCCAGGGCTGGTGTCACTTTACCATTGACTGGCTTCTGGTGCATGGAGTCCACAAAGTGCCGGGGGTTCTCGATGCTGTACTTGAGGTCCCGGACGGTGTGGGAACCTGTTCCCTCGCTCCACATCCCCTTCTTGGCACTCTTGGCTTGGTCCTCCAGCTCTGCCAGCCTGCTCTGCTCGGGGCTGCAAGGACAGGAGGAGACAGAGTGAGGATACTGCTGGTTCCTGCGGGTTTGATCACCAGGAAGATGCACCTTCCGGGCGCTTCTCCGGGTGCTTCAGTGACTCTGATCGCTCACCCCTCGAGCAGGCAGGGCTGGGTGAGCTGCTCAGCCCTGCCACGTGCTCCTGACACCAACACACAGCCAACCAAACCCAGTTCCACCAGTACAGAGGCAGCACCACCCGTGTCCAGACACCCAACGTGGGAAGCACCATCCCTGGGGGGTCAGGGAGGAGCCTCCTCAAGGGCTGCTCTGTGCACCTCCATGGAAAGGTGGCCCTGAATCCTGGCACAGCAGAGCATCCTCTGGGAGGATCCACAGGGTGGTTCTGCTTGGAAAAGCCCTTTGAGATCATTGACTCTACCAACCACTAACCCAACTCTGCCAAGTCTAGTGGTTAAACCATGTCCCTCAGCACCATCTCCAGGGCTTGGAAACCCCCCCAGGGATGGGGACTCCCCCCCTGCCCTGGGCAGCCTGGGCCAGGCCCTGACAACCCTTGCCAGGCAGGAATTGTTCCCCAGATCCAACCTCAACCTCCCCTGGCTGTACCAAACCACAGACTGTCCCCAGCCATGTGCATGCTGGAGGTTGCCCTCTCCCAGTCCTACCCTGTTGTGGTCACAAATCCTTAAATAAATTCAATTATATGTTTGCATTCTACAGCTCGGGGCAAAGCTGCAGCCTGAGGAACCCCAGATTCACTGCAGAAGCACCCAGGCAGCTGAGTCACCTCATGCACCCAATAATTAACACACCCTTCAAATTAGGAAGGCAAACAGGGAGCAGCAAGACCCTCCAAGAGGTATTGAGATTTAGGTTGGACATGAGGAGGAAGTTCTTTAGTGTGAGGGTGGGGAGACCCTGGCCCAGGTTGCCCAGAGAAGCTGTGGCTGCCCCACCAGTGTGATGGGGCTGGTGCAGCCCAGTTAGCACAGGACTGGACATCATGCACAGAATGATGGAATCCCAGACTGGTTTGGGTGGGACAGGACCTTAACCCCACCCAGTCCCACCCCTGCATGTGCAGGGACACCTCCCAGCAGCCCAGGCTGCTCCAAGCCCCATCCAACCTGCCCTTCAACACCCCCAGGGATGGGGCAGCCACAGCTTCCCTGGGCAACCTGGGCCAGGCTCTCCCCACCCTCACAGCCCAGAATTTCTCCCTCCCATCTCAGCTCCAGCTCCCTCTGCCAGCTGGAAACCCTTCCCCCTGCTCCCATCCCTCCCTGCCCTTGTCCCAAGCCCCTCCCCAGCTTTCCTGGAGCCCCTTCAGGCACTGGGAGCTGCTCTCAGCTCTCCCTGGAGCCTTCTCTTCTCCAGGCTGAACAACCTGCTCAATGTCCTGCCCTGCAGCCCCCAGCCACAGCTCTGCACTCAGCTCAAGGACACACCTGGTTCCCCTTCCCCACCCCTTCGTCACCCCAATCCTAAAGACAAAGGGTCACCCTTGGGACACCAGGTGGGGACACCAGCCTGGCCCAGGGTCCCAAGAGGATCCCAGGGTCCCTGGCTCAGGATCCCAGCTCTGCTCCCAGCAGGGAAGGGCAGATGCTGGGCAGGGCTGGGCCCTGCACCTACTTGTTGGCTCGGATGCCCTCCCGGCGCGACGCCAGCCCCTCGGCCACCAGGGACTCTGCAATGTTCTCCCCATTCGTGTCTGTGGAGAGAGAGGAGAAGAGTCAATAGAGGAGCCACCAGCAGCAGGGCAGGGACACACAGAGCTCGGCTCTGGAAAGGTCTCCCAAAGCAATTCCAGTCCACCAGTGCTGGGGCAACCTGGGGCAAAAGGCTCCTGTCACCGGCCCAGTGTCCCGGCAGTGGAGTCCCAGCACAGTCATGGAGTGGTTTGGGTGGGAAGGGACCCCAAATCCCACCCAGTGCCACCCCTGCATGGGCAGGGACACCTCCCAGCAGCCCAGGCTGCTCCAAGCCCCATCCAACCTGCCCTTCAACACCCCCAGGGATGGGGCAGCCACAGCTTCCCTGGGCAACCTGGGCCAGGCTCTCCCCACCCTCACAGCCCAGAATTGCTCCCTCCCATCTCAGCTCCAGCTCCCTCTGCCAGCTGGAAACCCTTCCCCCTGCTCCCATCCCTCCCTGCCCTTGTCCCAAGTCCCTCCCCAGCTTTCCTGGAGCCCCTTCAGGCACTGGGAGCTGCTCTCAGGTCTCCCTGGAACCTCCTCCAGCTGAACACCCCAACTCCCTCAGCCCCTTCCCCAGGCCAGGGCTAAACAAGCAGGAAGGTCCTTGCTCTGATGCACTGCAAAGAATGGGGGACACATCCAGGTTGCATCCAAAAGACCCAGGATGGTCTCCATGGGAAAGGGGACATCCCCAGTGCCCAGGGGAGGTGGGCAATCCCCTCCCAGCACCAAAGGGGCTCTCCAGATTTCCAAGGAAGGCTGCACCAGACAAGACCTGCACCAGGCAGCTCTGCACACAGAATAGCTCTGGTTGGAAAAGACCTTTCAGATCATCGAGTCCAACATCCCCTGGCTCCATCCCCTGGCTCCATCCCCTGGCTCCATCATTCCCCTGCAGGGAAACAGGAGGTTTAACAGCCACTGGGAGCCTGAGGACAAGTGGTCCAGGTGGGATCCTGGGCCAGGGGCTCAACAGGAGGATTCAGGCAGAATCCCTTGAGAGAAACCTCTGGCTGCCCATGGAGAAGGGAGGACTGAACAGCCCCAGGCAGCAGTGGGGGGTGCTGGGGAGGGGGGGCAGAGCACTGCCAGGACCCCCGACCCTTCCCCAGCCCCTCTGCTCTGGCTCAGCTGCCACCAGCAAGTGACAGCAAGACCCCAGCCCTCCAAAGCCCCCCTAAGCCCCTCCCCAGCCCCCAGGGCTGCCAGAGAAGCTGTCACAGCCTTTCCACATTCAAAGCATTTAAACCCTGACAAACTCCATCAGGAGACACTGGCTGCTTCATCCCTCCCCTCCACGGAGTGACAGGCTGGGAGGTACCAGTGACACCCACACAGGAGGCAGAGCAGAAGAGCTCTGGAGGTGGCAGGCAACAAGGCTGCAGGTGACTGAGCAGGAGCACCACACTGATCCCCCTGTCACCCAACAGCAAAAACCCTTTCAAGGTTCATTTGTTGCAGACGTTGCCCTGGGGACCTGCTGGGCATCCAGCTGGAGTGGGAACATGGAGAGCTGCAGCTTTCCAAGAGGATGATCCCCCCACTGCAGAGCTCCCCATCCCAAAGGGCTTCCCAGCCCCCCAGTGCAGGAGCAAACTGGAAGCTCAGGAATGAGCATGGAGGTAATTGTGACCTGCACTTATGGAACTGGTTTGGGTTGGGAAAGAGGTTTGAGA